ACAATACAAAGGTAGGAACGAATGACAAAATGGTAACGACAAAATAATTACGGCGCGCTAGCGTAAGTGGTGATAACACGTCGTAATCACCACACATACTATTATATTTACTAAATAAAAAAAAAAATCATAAGAACTTTTGCTCTAAAAATTGTTTAAACTCCCCATATTTAAATGAACAAAAAAAAACAAATCAAATCGTTCATGTTCCTCTAGAAACTGAACGTAAATTCATACGTTCCTGTCGAGTTCCCGAAAATTGAACGAAATTATTGGAACTATAGTTCCTTCCAAGCACTGTATACTATGTATGGGTATATAGGTACTCAACCTACATACAATATATTATAAAGGTATTAAAACGAAATTTTCGAATAAAAACATGAATTATCCATTCATTCCATCATAATACTGTTGCAATATTGTATACGGTAGTCAGGTGAGTGGACAAAAATCGCATGTTATAGGTAAGGACACTAAATATGGCGTGTTTATATAGTTTGTTCACTACAGTACATAATACATACGTTAAGTGATTTTGAACGCATACACGGTTCTGATTTTTCATAATGTTATGTACCTATTATGTTTTTAAAGTACCTATAAAGACACTCGATCATTTTTTATTTCATAAGGTTGTGGTCTTACGCTGTCAGTGGCACATTATTGATTTCGTGGGGGAGGGGTATGGTTGACTACTCTATAGGTAGGCTGTAAAACGATTTCCAAATCGTTATTTATTTTTACCCAAAAGTTAAAATTTAAATACAAACTGAAAACCGGGAAGTAAAAACTACTATTCTGTATTCGATAATTTCAAATGCCTATAAATACCTAGCTTAAAATTAGTCTTAATATTTTGAACATTTCGTTGTGATTAATATACCTAACTTTATTTTAACTTGTTTCAAGTTTCTACGGTTAATATTATTTTAGTTTTTATAAATAACAAAGAAAAGAGATTTTTTATGTGTAATTTATTATTACACATTAGAATTTCCACGATCTTCAAAATGTGAACTTCAAAACGCTCTTAAAAAATTAATGTGACCAACGCTAAACAACTTTTATATAAGACATTTTTTATCATATCTCATCAAGTATATAAACATTTATAGAAAATAAAACTTGATATTTCTCCTTTGCATGGAAATATAATTAATCTTAGATATGTCTGTGCAGGTTAGAATGTTCACCATATTGTATACTTTTCTTATTCTTAATCAGTCGTTTAAAAACTGAATGGTCTACCGATCGAAAACTTACTTAAATGCTGATTATCCTTCAACGGCTTGGAAAATCAAACATCAATGCCAAATTTTTTTATATTAACCCATAAATAATAATCGTAACCAAAATATTTTTGTTACTTAATACATTAATATTACCTATGAGCTATGATGTTTCACTAATCTCTAGACAACTTTTCCATGCAAGAATCTAGAAAACTTAGTGATATGATTTTAGCAAAATCTCATCGATTTCTTTAATTTATTTCATTCAACACACTTATCTCAGTTTTAAAGAATAACTAGATTTCTCACGAAATTCATTTCGATCATCTCGTAGCTTCTATACTCTAAAACCATCAAAACATTCATTTTTATCTCATTTCAATCATGTTTATCACTCTCTGATTAGTTAAGAAAATTACGTTGAATTTTTGACATTCATTATTAGATGAAAATTTGAATAGTACATTATAAAACTATTTATGCATTATTTTTGTCCTTTGTAAACTTTTGTAATTTTTAACCCTCAAATCTTAACTTCAATTCTACATTATTTGTTTTTTGACTGAAATCTTAGTTATAATGTATACCTATGGCATTTTTTTTAGTTATCAATTACTCATATTGGTTTAGATTTAGATAAACATAACCTGCAATTATTTCCGAATAATAGTAAATGTTTTTAATTAATTATGAATAATTTTATTTTTAGGACAATCTGTCAACATTTCAACAACTGGCTCATACTCAGATACAATTGGAATTGGACATATTGAAAAATGCGTTGGCGTATGTTAAACAACACTTGGACGTCGTGTTGAAGTCATAATTATACTTAAAAAATTAAAATATATTACTATTATTATCTTTAGATAATATAATTTAATCCATACAGACTTTCAAGTAAAATATATTTTTTTCCCAAGACTATTTGAATTACATTTATTTAATACAAATAAAATGAGTGATTGTTTTAAAAAAATAATTATAACTTAATAATACATAATACACGTCTCTATATTGATTTATTTTTATGAGGGTTTCTGTGAATTTATTAGAATAGTATTAGTTAATACTTTTTAAAATTGAGCAGTGGAAATATTATTAATAATATTGTACTAAGTTCACTTAAATAATATTTTTGGCTTTAGGTTAGATTCCTCCATAAATATAGTTGGTATAATTAAAAATGAAAAATTATCAATTATTTCTAGGTGTGCATTAATCAAATAAGTACTGTAAATACTGGATATCATATTATGAATTATTTGACATACATATAAAATAGTTATGTGCAAAATTGCGCTTATCAATTCAAAATGATAATTGTTATTCGATAATATGGATTATAATATTAAATACACAAAGTAACAGAAAAAACTAACTGTAATAACTTTTTTGTAAACAATATTCAAATTTGTCTTTTATTTAGGTATAATAGTAAAAAACAGTAATAAACCACAATTTTTATAAAAAATAATAATTTTAAACAGCGATTAGAACAAAATTAGTGCTGCGCATATTAGCTAATTACATTCATTAGTTCTCCCTATTATATCTTGTACATTTTAAACACTCTAAAATAAAAAACTGATTAAATATTTTTTAACAGATTTTATTCATATAATAATAAATAGGTCACGTTATCGAGGCTTTTTCTTAATTAAAAAAAAAAATAATAAATAAATTTTATTTTATTAAATAAAACATGATTTAATACAATAGTTAACACTTATAAATAATGAAACATAATTTTTATAAAAATTACATAAACTATTAAATTCTCTTTGTCACTTTAGTTTGCATACTTCAGTAATGTAAAATAACTTATTTAATAGGAAATTAATTGTATAAATTATCATAAATATATTTATTACCCTGCAATAAAATATCATTTTAAGATTTGTAATGCAAACTAATCAAATAATTAACTTGTCTAGTGAACACTATACGTAGAGTAAATGAAAGTTAAAGATCAATTTATCATGAGATACATTTTACATTATATTTCATTAATCACTTCAAACGTTCTTGCAAATTCATCATAAGCATTAACACTCAAGGCTTGACATAAGGTTTCCGATGTATCTTGGATTGACCATCCACGGTTTATTCTCTCAATAGAATCTTGCACTAAATCCACGCGTATAGATGGAGACTTTTTACCATTTTTTTCACCAACACACTGTAACAATAATAAGGACAAGACACCACTCATCCTTCTCAAGGTATTTATTTCATCTGGATCCTTCCATGCACTATTATCTTTCAATATCCTCGTTCTCTCTCTCAAAAGTTTATTGATCTTAAGACTTCTATTTTCACAACCATAGCATGGAAATGTTACTTGACATCCCTTATCTTCACTTAATGGAACTTTATCCGTATTTGAAGGTGTAAATAGACTTTCATAATTTTTCAATGATTTTTGTACATAACACTTATTATTGCTATCATAAATGTTATTGGATATACACTTTTTTGGCATACTTTTTACGCGGTTAAGGGTGTTTTCGGTTTCTTTTGAGTCTGTAACTATAATCACTTCAGTGTTATTTCCTTTATCTTCTTCTTCGTATGAAGTTAGATCTATAAGGCTAGCTTCATCTTCTGTTACAATGATGATTTCTTCTTCGTCATCAATAACAGTTTTTTCTAAATGAGGACTCAACACATTATTAGCTGTTTGCGGTAGAGCATGCAACATAAGTCCACCTTTAACAGCTGTTACTTGAATCATTTGATTCATTTTTTGTGTTAATTTGTTAATACATGGTGAATCTAAATGTTCTGTATTGAACTTTGGTGTTGTAGATATTTTCCTTTTTTTAGAAGGAGGATAGGTTATTGGATTATCCATTGATTTTAATAATTTTAATTTATCACCAAGTTTAGCATTTGGATTAATTTTTGGAGAAAAAAAACCAGAGTACTTTGTTACCATGCCATTCAGATGACCCTTTTCATTTTTTTGTTGTTCCTCATAATCTGCTAACAATTTATCCACAAGTTTTTTACGTTCTCTTTTAGATAACTCGTCTTCACTACTTTTAAAGTCTGTAGTTTTAATTCCACCATCTAATGTTGGTACTGCATCTTTTTTCAATACTTTTATTGGATGCAATGACTTTAAAAAAATATAATTTCAATAATTATATTAATTAAGAGAGTACATTTTAGATTAGAAATTGATACCAGATAATAATATACTTTACCTTATCAGTATATTTGTTTTCATAACTGTCTTTTTCGAAATGCTCTGAACATATTTGAGCATTTTTATGTTCATTTGAAACTGATTTATAAATATTACAGAAATTCAACCATTTCTCTAACACTACAGTATCGCTTGGAAATTTGTGGAACACAATTTCTCTGTTGCTAGTTGACTTATCTGATCCACTAGACTCACTGTTGTTGCAAATGGGAACAGCACAACATTTTTGCTCATCTGCTTGATTAATATATTTCAACTGTGAAAAAGAAAAGAAAAGAAAATTATACATTAATTATTAATCAATTGCATTTTTGATATTTGTGAGATTATCTTACATAATATTTGATGTTTTATATTTTAAAATCAAAAATTTTGAACTACTATTAAAAATAACTGTAGTAAACTTAAAAGATGAACAATGAAAAGATAGTTATAGACTATAGTCTATAGAGAATGCAACTCTCTTGCACATTAATATGACAGAGCTTAGTCATCATGAGACCTTATTCCCTCCACCAGGCTTGTGCTGTGTATTTTGAGTAGACCTAAGTGCTCCGACATGTTCCAAAGGAATGTTCTTGCTTTCTGATGTGAATGCAAAAATTGACAATTTTTAGTAGCTGAGGGGTTACGTTTTATTATAGAAAGCATTATAATAACTAATAATATTTACATTGATACATATTTTTTGATACTCAATTAAACTTACACTTGTATTTGGTTTATCTGCTTCATTTGTAAATTTTTCTCCTTCCAAAGTGTTAGACATATTAATAGACGGAATGGCTGAAACAATTTTACACACTTGAGTCTATTTTAGGTATTAATGAAATAGGTTGTTCGTTTTATAGTATTTTGGATAGACATAATATAAATAAATTATAAATATTCATATTCACCAGTTCTTTTAAGTTGTCTCTTAACTTTAATGTTAAGCAATTGTTCTTTTAAACTGTTACACTCAAAGTCATCAGAAGCAAAATGTTTAGAGCAGACGTAAGATGAATCTGCATTAAACTTAAATGGTTGTTTAATACTTTTCATCCAGGCATTACGTCGTTGAGGATTTTTTGGAAAAATATGATATGACACATCTTTTTCATGTTGCTTTGTAGATTTCAAATTGTTGCTACAGCCAATTATAACACACCAAGGCATGACTATAAACCAAATGCAACATAAAATTACCTGAAACAAAAAATTAACATGAGAACTAGTTAATATTTATATTTTATTTGTTACTACACATTATAATAGAATATCTTTCCAGTATATATTTTTTTTATATCACTTTTTAAAGCTGAATTTACATAAATAAACCAATTTAAATGAAAAAGAAGTTATGAATTAACAAGTTTAAAATATAGGGAAGTTAGTTAATTTTCTTTTGCATGTACAGTAAAACCTTCTTTAAATATAATGGCTCGGTAACAACTGATTTTTCTGTCATAGGGGTATTAAATATATGGGATGTAGTTTATACATATAGTTAATACTGTTGTTTTTCGTTATAAGAAGATTTCCGTCTTAAAATATAAGGGGTCAGTTATAAGGCTTTACTGTATATAGATTGTAAAACATTTGTAGATATATATTACAATTTACAATATTACAAGAGTTTAGAAAGGAAAAGTGACTATGAATATTGAGAAATTATCCATTTATTTTCATAAGTATGCGTAGCCAAAAGTAATTCTTAAATGTCCACACAGTATCTATCAAAAATGAGTTATTTTTATCGAAAAATCTGGCAAATGGCAACAGGAAATACAATTTTAATTTCCTTTTATACATAAAAATTACATTATCCGTGAGTTACTTATATAAGATTAATTATACATTTAATTGAAAGTAACTTAATATTAAAAAAAATAAATCAGGCTAAAAATTAAGTTTACAACTACATAAACAGTTCAAATTAAGCTAATTTTATCTTTTTAAATCGATTATGGCCAGAATTTTAATTTACATAAGTAGTAATAGCTCGATAATGGTTTTCTTGTTACTATATAGTCACATAGTGTACCTGGTAGTGTACATTATTTATTATTGTTATGATGATATGATTAATATGATATATAATATAACGATTTCGTTATTTAATATTATATTTTTTATATTTACCTATAAGAACACGTGATAAATAGGCGATACACAAAATACGAAAACCGTGGCCAATAACACAGAAGCACGGTTAACCTAGATAACAACGGACGCAATAATTACAGTTGTGCGTGAATCTGTTCAATCTAGACGATCTGAACTTACCACCAACGAGTACGGAGTTCGAATCAACCGCGGCAGTGATTTCACGTCGATCGAGGGAAGTCTGTCGATACGGTTAATGGAGTCGGTGTAATAAAGATATAATAATAATAATTAACGATCATAGATTATGATTATTGCATCGTCAGAAGAAGTACGTAATTTACAGAATTAACAAAAATAAATGTATTTACTCCAATTTCGGTGCTCGATAAGGCATTAACGTAATAACGTTGTCAGAAAACGAAAATCAACATACATTATACGACTGACGTCACAAAATGTCCGAAATCAGATGTTATGTGTTTACGAGTCGACATTCGGTGATAACGAAGTGATACCATTCCTCAATTGTTCTATGGTTAGTGGTTACCAAGGTGATTCATAATAATATTATTATTTATTACCACGGCTGTAGATAGACTAGTCTATCTACAGCCGTGTTTATTACCATTACCCTTCAAAACTTGTAGAATAGTCCACAGGGCAGTGTTGCATTACAACTTGCACGATGCCTATATTATTGTGGTTACTCGCTATCTAGTATTTTTACATATCTGTGGTTACACAATAATCTAGAGAGCCTTAATAGGTTATAATTATACCAATTGGCTATTATGGCTCTTTACTATAATCCATTGAGATGGAACCACAAATGCATTACTAAAGTATTCAACTAGGGCATTTAGGGCGCGTATTGTCCGCCAGGAGCGCTAAGAAGGCTGATTCTTCAAAAAATACAATGTAGTACTGTAGTTTAATACTGTGGTGTACGCATTAAAACTTTAAGAACGAATATAGTTTACTTCTCAAGTTATTTTTTGGAATTTTTTTATTTGGAAATATTAGTATTTTTATGCTCAGCGTTGGTGAAACAAAATTCGCCTATCTCATTTACTTTTTCTTTTATTGTTAGTAAGTCACGCGAAACTTAATTGTAGGTTTTAAGTGGTTTATTAACAGTTCAAAAAAAAGTGAGCAAGAGAATAATTTTTAATTAGAATCAATATTAGTTATTTTATTGTAATTTGAAAATATTATTTTTGGGTACTTGAGATTTTCAGAGTACATCGTTATGTTTTATACACACAGTGAAATTTTCAAATGTATTTTTTTTTTTTTTAAAAATGAATTTAACTTACTGTAGTACTGATGCATAAATCCCTAATAGTAACATAAAATACTTTAATACAATACTAATATCATCAAATATACAGACAACAAAACAACATTGATCATTTACTGTACAGTGTACGACCATAATAGTATACCTAATACACTATCCATGCAGTATACTATATAACATGTATAATATATATATAGGCATGTGGATTGTAGATGTATTATTTAGATTCTGGAAGCTTTTGAATATTGTAAAAATTAAACTGAAATGTATAATAAAATAATAAATTATGTAGTAACTAGTAGCCAGCAGGTACCTAATTCAATATATTGACACAAGGTATACAATTGTACAACACTATTTACTATTAAGAATTTATGCAACGCATTACATTTTGGCATGCCTAAATCCTATGAATTGAATTTTGAAAGATAATAAAGAATGCTTTAATTATTAAATCTGGAAATATGTTATTAAATTTACAAACATAGCCAGGTAGGAAGTAGATAGAACTAAATTAAAACTAAAATATAACGGTCAAGGAATTTCAATAAAAAATGTCTTCAGATTTTTTATCTGAAATTACCACATTATTGAGTATATAAGCAGACATTTTGTTTGGTAGACGTTCCCTCATCCCTCGAACATTTCGCGACATTAAAGTAAGTTTTATTGCTAAAGGTGAGGTGACCTCGACCAATTGAGTAAGATTAAAATTATCTACTGATTCTGTGTTAGTTTAACAGGGCTCATTGAACATGGTTTATAATTGGAAAATTGTATTATAAATTATAATATGTTAATATTAAACGATAACTTTTTAATAACACGAACATTTTATACAGATACCTGCAGCTATTTTATTGTATCAGCTATTTTTAGTTGATTATTGATATTTTAACTTTTTAATGGATCATGGGAACAATTTTAACTTGTTTAGTTAGAAGTAACTTAACTTAATCTTTTAACTAGTTAATGCCTCTGCTTTGCGTGTAATACAAGTGTACACTACCTACCTACTTATCATTTCTATATATATTTATTACCTACATTTTATTAGTTGATCCTTCTGTTTCATATTCTCAACATTTGTCGTGTAATATTAAATCTTAAATGTATAAAAAATATGATGGAAAGTTTAGTTCATTTTTGTGAATAGTTCAAATAAACTATTTTTAAGTTCATATTGTTTACTAGTTTTATTGATTGTACTCTATTGTTTAGCAATGAACTATTCGTTTGATCACTATTGTGTTTCAGTATTTTGAATTTTCGAACAACGAACATATGATTAGAACCTATAAAAACTTCCGATCACAGAAGTTCAAAAGACGTTCACGAACTATTTTATTAACACATGTACACAATGCTACCGATTTTTTTTTAATTGTGAACTGCAAGTAATAGGTACTGAAACAGTTCAGAATAGTTCAACAAAGTGAATAGTTTAAATGAACTATTCGTATATAAACTAATTATGCCTAAGGGTGAGGGTGGAATAGAGTTTAATAAACCTAAAAATAATTTTAAAATATGGAAAATTCAATCAAAATATGTACAACAGGACAGACGAAAGACTAACTCCATATACTTGAAATTTTTTTCACAAAATGTCAAAATTGGAATATTCTATAAATGGTAAGATTTCCAAAGTACTTTTAATCATATTGAGAAATTAATTAATTAATTATTTATTTATAGACATAAGAAACTTTTAAACATTTTTTGACAACTGTTGTCGATAAATATGTTTTTGCTAAGTCGAAAACCTTGACAATTTAATACAAGTAGGTTCCTTACACATTTTTATTGTAGCTATTCAAAAACATTGATGATACATGAGTAGGTTTTTATTTCTAAGAATTTGAAGTACAAATTTCTACGCAATTAATTCATTATTTTGTTGTAATTCAAAATCATTATTCGTGCTGACTTATGAATTTTTTGGATATTAATAGGTACAGGTATATTATAACTATATTCAGCGACATTTTTAAAATGTTTAGATTAATTGTATGTTATTGTCTATTTATAATACACACCGTACTACTAAAAATAATTACTATAATAATTAATAGCACTACACAATATGCGCTATTGTATTTATGTGATGCCTACTTCGTTGGTCGTCTCCTTTCAGAATCGTTTTTCGTTTTCAATGATTTATCATTGAATTTAAATTTAACACATCCATAACAGTGACTTACTCAATGACGAGGTTAACGCTCGACTCTTAATACAGCAGAGTGATTACTTTCTTTCCTCTTTTTTGATGTTAAGTTTAAACATTAAACACATTCATATAAATATTTTTAATTTATCTTGTTAAAAACAATATAAATTAAACAAGTCTTGTAAACTTATAAATCACTCATTTGTATATGAAATAAAATTGTAAATTATATTAGCTTGTAAAATCGTTAGCTTATATATTATGGTTGCCAAAACCAATAACCATTTGTTAAGACAGACAAATAATTTTATGTATTTTTTTAATAAGACTTATAAGTTATATGTTCTTATAACTTATCGAGTGCAAAAATACTGGAACTTGGCAGTGAATTTTTTTATGTATCTGAAAAAAAATCAAATGAAATATGTCTATTTGTATGTATGTATGTATGTATGTATGTATGTATGTATGTATGTATGTATGTATGTATGTATGTATATATGTATGTATGTATGTATGTATGTATGTATGTATGTATGTATGTATGTATGTATGTATGTATGTATGTAATGTATGTATTTATGTACGTATGTATATCAGAAAACAATAATAGAGCAAACAAATGTATAAAACTATATTTATTACACCATTAACTAGCTATAAATATTAAGTAAATTATCCATCATAGTTATATTTTGGTTAGCATGTTTGAAATTATTTACTAAATAATATGTACAAATTGTTGTATCTATTAAGTTTTTGATATAGTTGTAAATTGAATTACGTAGAGAGAAGAAATGTTAGTATCTTAAAACTAGTTTACAAAAACAATCATAATATGTAACTGTAACAAGAAAAATTCCGAAATAAATTGTACAATATTCAATCGAAATAAAAACACTTCGTCGAATTCCATGTAAAAAATGTCATAATAAAAAAAAATCAAATCATTCAGCACTATACAGATGTGATATGATTAATAAATGCTAAGTTAATTGAATTAAATTTAACATATTTGGTTTCAATAGTTAATTTACTTGACAAGAAATTAATAATTATATACTTTATTTGACACAAACTAACGTGAACAAAATAAACATAAGATATTAGAACTTCATTATAATATTTGAATGGACATTTCTACACTTGTCAAAATAATTTGTCTCCAAGTAAATAAATATTATTGAAATAAAATAAGTTTACTTTAATTAAATTTACTTAGCATTCATTCATGATATCATGTCTTTATAATGCTTATAAAGATCTGATTTATTTTTTACTTAGCCGTGAAGTTTGACAAAGTGTTTATGTTGTTGATGTTGTTATATCACCAATATTTTATGGTCGACAACAAAATGAAACAAATAGTAAATACGTCAAATAGACATAATGAAACACGTTTTAACCATAGATAATAATATTTTCTCCCAATGAAAGAAGCGGCCGCCGTAATTTCAGATTTTATTATAATTTCTCATTAATAAGTGTGCACGTTTCCTAAAATAACTTAATTTCTAATCTTATGATTTTGATGATGTTTACAAAAGGATCGTCTGAACATTTTTTCTGATGTTTTTCATATTAGGTATTAACTGATTCAGTAGATAATTAGTAATCCTGTCTGACAAAAAACACCAATATTTACACGATTTAAATGGCAACTCCTGCTTTGAGATAATAGTAAACATAGTTGTGCCGCCGCTATTTGTTTTTTTGTTTTACCTAACTCGCGCCACGACAGCGCTGGATAAGCTTAGTAATAAGTAATAACGTAGAAATATGCATTTCCCCAAACTAGGTTAAGATAATAGTTATGTAACAAAATAACAATTAGTATAATTTTACTCGTAGTCTTTAAGTACAACGTAACTACGTTAAACTTAAGATTAATATTATTGACAGTGCTTTGATGATAAAAATTGATATATAAAGGATATGTGAAAACAGAAAGGAGGTTCAGATTTGGTGATCGTGTGAA